CACACACACACACACACACACACACACACACACACACACATACACACACACACACACACACCTTTTAATAAAATGCAAATTTGCAACTGCAGCCCTACCCCCACCCCCACCCCTTAACTTCCTCCCATCCCCAGCTCCATCCCCACCTCACCTCCTCAAGTTTCTCCCACCCTCACCCTCACCAAAAAAACACCCCTCACCTCTCTCCCTCCCACCCCCATCCTACCTCCCCTCACCTCCTCCCACCAGGCCCACACATCCCCATCCCGGCTTTTCTATCCAGCCAATCTGTCTGTCTTTCCATTGCCTCCCTTACATTCACGCCTGAGTGCGCAGGCCAAAAGACCCACTGCACTCCCCAGAGTGCGTTTTTTGACGGTAGTTCATTAAGTCCGCACACAGCAGCACCCTCTTCTGTGAAATGACAGCTGAGTCGGCCATGGAGCTGGGCACAATGACGGCATCCTGGTGTGTCTGTCGTAACTGACCCAGAGCATGGCCTCACTTCTCGCATCGTCGCTCCTGCGAGAACTCTGTCGAAGTACTTATAGAAATTCTCAAAATGAGTTTGCTGTTTGCAGCTTCCTACCTGGATACCCGGAAGTGTCATCTCTGACTCAGAGTTTGACGTATAATGACCCTCCATCCTTCACGATCGCGAGCTGCCGTTGCACATTCTGCCAAATCAAGGCCAGTCCAAGTTTTAAAGTAGTCTTGTAGTTTTATATTGGGGATATAAATCGTTACACTCACTTAGCCCCTTGTCAGGGAAGAGGCAGTGAGTGGATGCCTACAAATTAGTAGGGTCGTTCTGCGCCCCCCCCCCCTCTCGTTCACCCCGCACCCTTCCCCCTCCCCTCCCCTACCTCGTAGTCTAGACTGTCCCCGAAACTGCTTACTCAGCAGCCGCTCGGCCCTTCCCTGCGAAAGTCAACTTGGTAACGCTTGACTTTTACAGGAGAGACAAACCTTTATGGCAGAGACAAAAATGTTTCTACTGTTCATTGCTCTTCTTAACACTTAGTAAGCAGGTAGCTGGAGGCGCCACTGGTAGGTCCTACTTCTTTACTTTCCCTCTGTTGTTTCTAATTGTCTGTCTTACTTTTTTCCCAACACTAAGTTGCCATTATTGCGTCGATGTGCATTTGTTTACTCAAACAAACAGGCTTTTCCTCCTTTGTACACAGCCAGATTTGCCATCCAAGTTTTCAAAATCACAAACCTTCTAACAGCACCGTTCCTATGTAATCCATGTGAACAAATTACACACCAAACTGATTAAGAACGAATGACCCAAGCAGTATGCACAAAGTTTGATAATTATGGTTACAATGAATTTGCTAGCAATGATGTGAGCCAGCTGAACTGTCATGGTACGGCATTTGCTGAGAGTCAAGGTGTGGAAATGGTGAAATGGTATAAATTATGCTTATCGCCTCTATCAACACTGTTAGGTTATTTAACCCGTACGTTGTGTTTTACTTTCGTACCCATACGATGTGGAGAACTGTGTGCCACCACTTTCCAAAGAGGAAATTTACTCGTTAATCCGATCAGTACGCTTTACATAGCAGTCTGTAAAAATGATTTTTTTAAAAGAAATACTGAAAGTTTCTAAGAGATCTTCGGACTATAAATATTCTAAAATGTGAAGAATACAACCCCGGTGGTACAAAATGACCCCAGGGAGTACGGATAGGGTTAAGAGGCGGGAGTTAAGTTGTGCCATATGTGTAAGAGAACCATCAGAAAAAGACAATTGAGATTCTTTGGCCAGAGAATGGACTAGAGAAACTGCTAATGTGTGGAAAGATAGAGGGAAGGAAGTGCAGATGAAGACAACGAACAACATACACAGATGGTCTGAAGAACTTTGCAACAAATAACACAAAGAGAAAACCGAGCTGTCCAAGAAGACAGACAACAGGAAGGAGTGGGGTACCATGATCATGTAATGTGTTTTTGTTTTTGCTTTTAAAAATAAATTCATAAGACAATTTTTAAGATCAGTTTTTGTTTTTATTCGTATTTTCTTTGCTTTTATTTTTATTTATTTATTTATTTATTT